TGACATGATCTACGCTGCCAACCAACCCACTGACTTGCCCGAACGCGTGTCCAGCCTCTCTCCTGCATGGCAGATCAATGCTGCGAAGAAGAGTATCACGCGCACCTTCACATTTACCAGTTTCGCAAAGGCTTGGCGGTTCATGTCGCTCGTTGCGGATGAGTGCAAGGTTCAAAGACATCATCCGAGTTGGTCGAATTTGTATAATAGGGTTGAGATTGAGTGGACTACGCATAAGCCCGAGGGACTGAGTATCAAGGATGTGGACATGGCCGAGTTTTGTGACCGGAAGGCGGCGGAGATTGGATTGAAGGAACCGGAGTGATTGAAGTGTTTGAAGATCGCGGTTGATCGACGATCGGGGGATAGTTAATACTTCTGGGTAGAGTACTGCAGCTGCCAAATCCGACCGCTAGCGCGAAGTCTTTTAGTAAGATACTCGGTCTCGCCTCTGTGGATATCATAGCTCCGTATCTTTCTCCTTGTCTCTGGTAGATCAAGTTCACTCGACAGTGACGGCTCTTCGTTGGACACTTTTATTTATCTTAGCCCTTGGACAATCTCCCGCTGACACGACGTTTCTCTACCCAGCCTGACCTGATCATTTGATTCGTGCCACTCATTTCCGCTCGTCTAGCATCCGACCATCACACCAACATCGTCAACAGCCACTCTCCAGCCTTCCTCATCCTCAACGCCATCGCCCTGCACACTGATGGCAACCGAATGACCAACGCCTCCAGGTACATCTTGCACTTGAACTTTTCCTCCAACCTTCGTCCAGCCTTCTTTTCCAGCCCCCATGTGAACTGCTTCTCCACAGCTGACTTGATCCAAGAAGATCTCAACGCGCGTTTGCCCATTCGGTCTCCTTCCTGTAACCCATGCGTAGCAATCGACTGTCGCACCGGCAGGAAGATCAATGTAGGATTGAGATAGCGTGAGGGTAGCCTGGACCGCCGAGCTGTTCGATAACGCGGCGTAGAGATTGCTACCGGAGTGTCCGCCTGTAGGGGAGGTGGATATTCCGCGAGAGTACCACGAACCGGTTACCATATCCATCCACGGAGACAGCACAGGGATCTCGAACGAGGGATTGGCAACGGCATTCGTGCAGCGCTTGGTAGAAGGCGCTTGCTGCGGTGATGATAGTGGACTGGCTTGCGCGGTCGCGAAGGTGAGAATGGCGCACACAATAAAGAGTAAGAATTGCCGGAGAGGCATGACGGCGTATGATCGATCTTGGGTAAGGTCGCACAAATAAACGATTTTGCAGACTTCAAGTCGCTTTTTGAATGTGATCAAGACTGATAGAATGTTCAGCTCCGTGTAAGCTGCAGGTAGCTGAAGCAGCTGAGCCGAGGCGGTCACAAGTGAGACCTGACGAGAAGCCGCGTGTGACGTGAGCTCGAGGTTCCTACCAGCGCGCTTCGACTTGAATTGTTCCAAGTCGGTAGGAACGGGCTTTAGACTGTGATGTGGAGATTTCGTGTATGTTGTGTGTGACGTGGACGGGTATATGAGCTCGCAATGTTACTGGTAGATACAGCAGGAATGTGGATTCCGGTTCTCTCAAAGCGCAACGAACGGAGGTGAAGGTGAAGGTGAAGATAGAGGTAAAGGTAAGGAATGCGCAAAAGACATCGACCCCTACCATAACCATATACAATCGTAGACTCGCGTTGCATAGTTCAACGCAAAAAGCACACTCCAGGCTGTGATCATGTCGAACAAGCTTCAGCTGTCAGGGTCAAAACCTGATCGAAAGGAGCTAACCCGCCGCGCCACATTGTTATCGACTGGAATGCGCAATGGTAAACACGTAGAAGCTGTCCTTGGTGTTGTTGTTGACAGGGTTGGACGGTTGGTAAGAGGCAAAGGTGGCGTACACATAAGCGAAATTCACGGGGCCGTTTCGCATCGACTTGGCACCACTCCCTATCGCAGTACGATTCAATTCCACAGTCGCGCCATGTTACAAGCCAGAAGTTGGTCCAGATGTCGGACATTTAATAACGAATGATAGACATGCGGCTGATTATTGGCGAGTGCGAGAAGCTTAGGTCAGGATTCTCCGAGCCTATGGGACCGTCATCCACCGTTTTCTGACAGGGACTGGGTTGTTAGAAGCGAAACGGAAAGGAGATCTAGATTGCGAAAGAAGGAAAGGAGGAGCAGTGAACTTTGTCTGAACTTTGTCGGATTTATGTGATTGGATGTTTGTTAGCCCATGGAGATTTCATGCTCCTGGGCCCTGCTCATAGCGGCGTACTTTTGGGGTATATAGCGAGCCATCGAAATCAACCTGTGCGGTTGTCGAAGGCCAGCTGGTACGCTTCTGTCGCATACTGATGCAGTTGTAATGTCCGCCTCAAACGCCGACCGTGCAAACCGTAGCCTCATGTCGTCATACTATAAATCGTGTCGCTCATGCGGGCTGCTCGTATGCCCTCTTGATGACCCTTGCGAATTCTGATAGGCTTGTTAGCGGCGACTCAACGTTTGTGATGCTGGTGTACTTACGATCGAACTTGACGTTCTCACGGACAACGGTGCCCTTAGCCTCGTTGTCCTTGTTGATGGGTACCTTGATCTTGGCACCATCGATGTTCCACCCGCAAACGCTTCCGACGAAGTTGTCGAACTCGCTGCCAGAGAGGTTCAACCACGACTCGAGAATGCTGCGGTCGACCTCGCGCACCGCCTGGCTGACGGTTGCAGCGATGCGTACGCGCATCAGCTCCTCGAAACCTGAGACATCGGCAATCAAGTCGGCGTACAGGTCGTCGGAGTCTAGTGTGGACCAGAAGGTAGAGTAGTCGGCACCCTCGAGCAGGTTCCTCAGCTCGTTGAGCTTCTGGACAGCTTCTGATAGCGGCGCGTCGCCAGCAGCTGGGTTGTGTAATGAAGATGAAAGAGGAGCGAGGACGTGTGGAGGGAGGAGGGAGAGGCCCAGGGAGAAGTCGGGGCTGGGGAAGACGGTGAGAGCCTTGACGAGAATGTTGGTGATGGTCTCGTCACGGGCAAGGTGTGGGTTGAATTGGTAGCTGGAGCATCGTGGTTAGCAGATGTAACGATGATGCTTGAGGTACAATGGTAGTCAGGAGAAAGCTGTCAGATAGAGCTAATAATAAACTTCAGCGGGGGAGGGATTCATGCTCCATCCCTCGGGTAATAGGAAACGTTGTGGTTGTTTATTCATCTTGTAGCGTGGAAGGAAGAGTAGGGGGGACACGTACAGCTTCAACAGGGCGAGGTTGGCGTAGCAGTCGTACGTCTGGTTCTCGCACTGCTGCATGACATAGTCCTGGAAGACACCCGTCGTCTCTGGGTTGTAGCGATCCAGTCCATCGAGGATCTGCTGCATGTGATCCGGCCGCTCAGGCGCGAAGTCGAAAGGGGCGCCCATGGTGGTTGTGTGGATGAGCGACGAAGAGTTGGTGTTGCAGGCTTGGTCAAATTCGCTCAGTGCGACAAAAGGCGCATTGGCCACCGAGCAGCCCCGCGTCATATTCAAAAAAGTTAGACCCCGCCAGACAACCAACTGTGGAAATATACACAAGAACAACCAGAATGGCGCCCTACGACAGTGATTCTTCAGACGACGGAGGCGACTACACCGAGACGAATGTTCTGCTAGGATATGCAGCGAGGGAAGCAACGGGCGACGCGATTTCCCACATTGGAGGCGCACCGGTACGCACAGCATCAACCACGCCGAGCGTCTTTCTGACGATCATAGTAGAGCTGGATAGACGAGAAGACATCCCCTTCTGGCGCCTTAGCAAAATGTAAAGTCTGCAATGGCTACCTCAGCCTCCTCCTCGAACTTAACGGCGATCTTCCCGACAACTTTCCTGGCCACGAGCGGCGGCTTTACATCTGGACATGTCGGCGCAAGCCGTGTAGAAGAAAGGAGGGCAGTGTAAGGGGCATTCGCGGAGTGCGCATCGCAAAAGGCGCAAACAACAAGGCCAGCGCCCCCAAAATTGAGAAGAAGGAGGTCAAGGAAGAAGAGAAGCAGCAGCCCAAGATTGGCGAGTCGCTGTTTGGAGTGAAGAACGGGACAGGCGCATCGACATCCGCGAACCCCTTCTCGAACCCGTTTTCGTCCAACCCGAATGGCGCAGCATCATCGAACCCCTTCTCCAAACCAGGTGCAAATCCCTTCGGCGCATCGACTCCCACGCCCGCAGTGCAAGTTAGCGAGCCCCAAGAGAAGAAAGACGAAGCCTCCACGACCCTCCCCGAGACGTTCGCGTCCAAAGTTCGTCTCTCGTCACCACCTCCCTCCGAACAACAACCCCCGCGTCCGCATGAGCCATGGCCAGCAGACTCAGCCTTCCCTACGCCCTTCCCTCACTATCACCTCGACGCCGAATACGAGACATTAGACGCCCCTTCAACACCCTCGATCCCAGCGAACGTGCGGATGGATACAGATAATGAAGGAAGCGGTAGCGGCGGGGGAAAAGAAGACAAGGAGGTGTTCGAGTCATCCATGGACAGGACGTTCCAGAAGTTTGCAGATCGCATCGGAGAGAATGCAGAGCAGGTGCTACGATATGAGTACAAAGGCAAACCGCTCCTGTACAGCGACAACGATGCTATCGGCAAGCTTCTGGGTCCACACTCAGAGAATGGTCCCTCGTCGAACGCAAAAGTCAAGACAGCAGGCTCACGGAGTGGGGCTGGGTTCCCTCGCTGTTCGACCTGTGGCGCGGACCGAGTCTTCGAGGTTCAACTAACACCACATGCGATCACGGAGTTAGAGGCCGATGAGATGAGTCTCGACGGCATGGAATGGGGCACTATCATCATGGCAGTATGCAGCAAAGACTGCAAACCCAACGATGTTCAGGAAGGAGAAGTTGGATATGTGGAGGAATGGGTCGGAGTACAATGGGAGGAGGTGCCTTCGAACAAGTAGGATGAGGACAGTATACGATACCAGAGTCGTTTGATTGGAATAAACGATTCAATACCCGACCTCATATTGTTCAGGCTGCTGTGGCTGCCGTAGCTGGCGCAGCTACCCTCGTGATCTGATCACCAGCCCTGACGACACCGAGCCCTTTGGTGTCTCTCTCACCACCTGTTTTCCAAACTTCAACTTCCTGTCCGCCTCGCAATATGCCAACACGCATTGTCGACAGCAGATTATGTGCCGCGTTTGAATGTTCATATACGCCACCGTTGAACACCGCAGTAGCGTCCTTTCCAACCGCACTTTTAATCAGCGTCTTACCGCCCGGATGATCAGCGATAAACGGCGAAACATCATGAATCACTCCAGCAATAGCCACCAAAGCAGCACCCTTGGCTGAAGCCTGAGTCTGGAAGTCGTCCCAACTAATCACCGGCAACTGAGCAAGTGGCATACCCCAATCGAGCATCGATCGCTTCTTGTCGAGAGCTTTTTGTTGCTGCTGGAGTCTACCTTTCTCAATCTCATTCGAGCGGAAAGTCTTCAAGTCGTATGTTAGAGGAAAGACCGGGATCTTCGACATGATCCAGATGAGCCATTTAGTCGGATCGTACTGGTACCAGGCAATCGCGTTCCCTTTCAAGCATCAGTATTATCATAGCTTCCATAGCTCAAAGGAAACAGCAACTTACGGTAATCAGACGGAAACTCATGATGGAAGTTATGATACCCCTCCCCCATCGTCACCAGCGCAGTGAACACATGATCCCTCGGACTCCTCCGATCATCAAACGGCTGCTCCCCAATCCAATGCGCAAGACTATTCACACAAAACGTAGCCTGTTGCACAAAACACGCCCGTATAATCCCCGCATACACAAACCCGCCCCAATAATCGCCCCATCCCAGTCCAGCGACCATGGCAGGAAAGATCCAGGCTGTAAACAAAAGCAGTTTGCCGTAATGCTTGTGTTGGAATACGACGATGGGATCGTTATCCAGATCAGAGATGTCCGTTCGTCCTTTGACTTTCGGATCGTTGTTCAGCACCATCCATCCGATGTGCGAGAATAAGAGTCCGCGCATAACCGAATAGGGATCTTTCATCGTGTCCGTCCACCGGTGGTGAGCACGGTGATTAGCGCTCCACCACCGTATGCTTCCCTGAATCGCTCCTGCTCCTGTAAACGCGAGGAATAAGCGTAGGGGAAGGCGTGCGGAATAGCATCTGTGGCTCCACAGCCTATGGTATCCGCCTGTGATACCGAAGGCGGTTGTGGCGTAGTAGAGAATACTCCATAGAAACGTTGGGAGGGTGAGGGGTGTGGAGCGGGCGAGGGAGAGACCGTAGCTTGGGATCAGGATGACGAGGGTTGTGTTGAGCCAATTTATCTTCTTGTACCAGTTCGTCCAGGTGATGGGTTGGGAGGATATGTGCGGTTCCTTTTCTGGTGGGGTGCTGGTAGCTGCCATCGTAGCGTCCTGGTAGTTGAATACCCCCACACACAACTGCAGGTCGGAAAGATGAAATTAACGAAATGGTTCGTTCACTACCTTAAAGTACCATAGCCTCGTATATGTACCTCCACCCACGTTCCCATCCGGAACATACCGAATACACCAGTACCGCCTGTCAGCCTAAAAAACGCAGGGCCACCTGCGCCTTGCATGCTTGCTAGAAGAGAAAACGTGGTTCTAACGTGCTTCTCGCGCCTTTCAGCCCCATCATCGGCAAAAACAAACGTGCGTAACGGCGAGACGGTCGTGCCAAACCCTCCGACCCGGATTCCACGGGCGTCGTGCGCACATCTGCGTAGTGGCTGTGATTGGTTGTATTGGGTGGTGGTGGGTGATTGATGAAGTTTACAATGCCGGGTTTGGTTTAGTGGCATGCAGGAACCTGGTGGTTCTTCGGTGGTTTGATGACTAACCTGGTTTGGGTGAGGGATGCGAGTTCGGGAGTGGGATGCGAGCGGCTTGGCGGGGACGACAGGACACATTGTCGAGACTTTGGAAGGCGCGATGTTGATGCCTGTTTGGAGCGTGCGTGTAGTTGCTATGCTTCATCCTGTGCGCGCTTGCGAGTTCACCACTACGAGGACTGAATACATTATACATGTGGCTCATACTTTGCCGACCTTACCGTGTAACCCGCGATGAGCTCGACGAAGAATGGACGAATGCGTGTGGCACGTAAGTTTGTTCCCTTTCAAATATTCTTTGACTGTCCTAGGATACGAGCCGCATCTGCTTAACAGCCCGGGTTCTCCAGGCTGCGGAAGTGTCTTGCCTTGATTGCTCGAATGCCCCTAAACCATCATAAACGACCATACGAAGCGAGATCGATACTCCCCTGCTCAACTGTCTAGGCTCTCATCTCCACTGGTGTCATCGAACTCGTCGTTATCTGCCTCGTCCTGTTCGATATATCCTTCATCGCTCATGAAGCTCCAGACATCTTCGTCACGAAAAGCCCTCGTTGTCCAGCACTGCTCAGTCGTTTCCCATGCTTATATCGCCGCTAGACTTCTTGCTCAATGTATCCCGCCGCCACCATGGAGTTCCAGATCTGCTGGCTATTTTGCTGCTCTGTATCTTTCATCAAGCGTGCCGTGAAGTCAATCAGAGCGGCGCGCACCAACTTCTCAGCTTGAGCAAACCAATTGCCACGGTTGTGATGAAGGACGCATAGTTCGATCATGAAGCTTCGAAGAGCGCATGGTCCGGCCGTAAGTCTGTACACTAAGTTGAGTGTGTAGACTGATATGCTGTTCGTCTCTGCGAGGCTGTTTCCAATGATCTCACGTCGTACCGCTTCCACGAAAGCTGCATCGCCGATGTTCTCTCCTACCATGTGCGCCTTTACCAGCCTCCTGCAGCGGACTCGTACATCCCCGTTGTCTGCCAGGTACGTTGGGATATTACGTCCGTAGAGCCATTGAACGTATATATCGAATCCGTCGGCGTCTGTATCATCGAGATTGAACGTGTTGATGAAAGGCGTCTTGACCCATGCAGCGCGACAGATAGGACAGGTACTGTTGGTGTTGTTCCACTGTTTAATGCAGTCTTGATGCAGATGATTCCCACAAGTCTTGCAGTATGTGAGGGTCTTGACCGCTGCATCCAGATCTTCGTGGCAGATGACACACTCGCCTTCAACGTCTTTGCGTGCGGGTTGGAAACGATCCTTGAAGACCTTGGATCGCATGCACAACATGTCTTCGTGTGCCGAGAAGTTGCGACGTTGCGGGCCTACTTGAAGGCGCAGAAGCCTGCCGCCAAATCTGAATTCGTTAGTTTGTGCGGCCAAGGTAAGAGTATGGACTACTTGCAAGATAGGCGCATGCTTCTTGGCCTTGTTGGCTATGCCGCGAGCTTGGGTGACCGCCATCGGATATCGCTTTGGCGACAATCTGAAAGAATTAGCAAGCGTCTGATAATTGTCACCCGGGACGCGACCTACTTGCAGGTTACCCCGTTGCGTCGTGAGTTAGTGGTTGATGGAGAGAGCAAAGTCAAGCCGTGAGCAGAGGGAGCCAGCGTCTGCTAGCCGATTGGATGCTCGTGATCTCATGGTGATACGGTGAAGGTGAAGACGACGGTACCTCGAAGACAGTGTGAGGAACGGTGAGGTGAGGTCTTACCTACGACATTGGTGGATAACCCGTAACGGCTCAGGGTCCAAAAGACATGACAGCGTCTGCGCATGTTCTCAGATGTCTGAAGAGCTCAAGCGTACCTCAGATGTGGATAGAACAGCAGCCACGCCCGCGCTTTGTAGCTCATCATATCTGTTCTTGTTCAATGGGAGTTATGTAGGTATGCGTCCCAATATATGGAACTTGCCTCATCAGAATTATACAACTCTCGAAACATTGCATAGTACTGATGTCGCTGGCGAGCGTTTGGAATACTCCCACGCATCGATAGATGATGTTGATCATCGACGCGCAGGAAAGCTAGATCCCCTCTAAGCTGGAGTTCGGTCAGATCGTGTATTCGCACCGGAGGCCTGGCGGAGGAAGCCTTTTCACCCACGGCGCTTTTGCGGACATCAGGCTGCCAGTCTTCACAGATGTGATAGGTGAGATTGGATCACGAAGTGCCCCATTTCGCTGCTTGAGGTCGCGATAACAATATTTGAGAAAGGCGCCTGGGTCACGGGAACACGCGTCCTCGCTCCTTCTCCAACAGCCAACATTGCAGCCTGGCCTCGCATATGACGTGTGACGCGACGCGTACCCTATTCTGATCTCTTGTCGCGTTCTCTCGTCTTCACTTCATCACTCACCTCCCGCAGCAAAGATTAGCACCGTCAACAGTTCTCTGCAGTAGTCCACCTTGACTGCTTGCTTTTATCAACCGCCCAGCTTCAACTCTCTATACGCAAATACTACAAGCATCGATCCTTCAAGATGGGTGCCTGGGGATACTGTAAGTGGCAAGCATACTTCAATCGAGCACCTCATCGACTAACACCATGCCAGGTCTCTTCCAGTCAGACCACGACTTCGAAATCGTCGAAGCTCTCGATACTGAAGCCGGTCTCTTTCCACTCATGGAAGCCGCTCAGGCCAGGGCTCGAGCTCAAGGCAAGTCTGAGGAAGAAGCAGGACGCTGCTGTGCATACAGCACCTACGCCCCCTACTGCTCTCACCCCAAACTCATCCGCAATCACCTCGACTCCGGTATCCTCGTCGACATGATCGCTACGAAGGAGGCAAAGATGCTCGCTGGTCCTGTCGGCCTCAAGGAGAAGTGGTTCGGAAACTGGGGACCGGATCCCACCTACGTCTACGTCCTACTCGGTGCTTGTGCCATGACCCTCGGATGCAAACTCCCCGCTGCCTATATCACCATGCTCAAGAAAGTCTACACCGAAGGCGGTCTCATGCCTGCTGCGCAGGGCCAGATGAAGAAGGCGCTTTTCGGTCCGAACGGCTACAAGAACGGAGTTCCTTACGACTTCAAATCCAAGAGCATCACCGAAGAGGCCAACGCTAGACCCTCTGAGCCCGATAACGGAATGGGTTTCCAGATGATGAATGTTCCTGGCCCGGGAGGTCTCTTCAGCACTGGTATGACAGATTCGACTACTTCGCTTGTCGTCAAGGAGCTCCGCGAGCAGTTCAACAAGCCGGACTTGTGTGGTGGATGTGGCGTCAAGGCTAGAGCTGGCAGTGATGCCCTGCTTGCTTGTGCCAAGTGCAAGAACCGCAAGTACTGCTCCACTGAGTGCCAGAAGAAGCATTGGAAGGTTCACAAGAAGGTCTGCGAGCCTGCCGATGTCTTGTTGTAAGCTGATGGCTTGCACACGTAAGAGGGTTTTCGGGAGAGTGTGCGATGTATGCGCAAGATGGTGCCATGGTTATGCCGGCGCAATGACAGGAGCAGGATGTGACAGTCACACGGTGAAGCGGTCTGACTCTTATCTGTTGTTACATTAGTGTATGCGATATGAGACGAAATACAATCACAACTCACAAGCTATATCCATATAATCAAGAACATCGCTGTAGTGACTTTGGGACCAACCATAAGAAGACTACTGAGGAAGCTGTATTCGTAACACATTGTTATTCGACAAGAAATACCATCCTCGGTGAACCCACCAGGATGCATCCATAACAGAATGTCTACTCTCACCATCCCACACTAACCCTATGACGATCTAACAATATCCAATAACCCACCCTCCAACAGATCAAACATCTCGACCTTCCTTGCGAGACCTATCAACAGCATCCCTATTCACTCCATCCTACCAAGCAAACATGCACTTATTATTCAACAGCCTCGCCCCCAACATATCATACTCATACCGACTAATCCAGCCATCATTGCCATGCCCACTCAACCGGCCAAACACGCTCCCCCCCTTCCACGCCACAACCTGCGGATCAAAGTCACGCGGCGGCGGGCCCACAAGAATCTCTTTACCGTACCCGGGACGCAACTCACGGAGTCGCATCTCGAGAAACTCGCGTAGCCCGGGTGTTTTGGACGCGCCGCCAACGAGCATGATGCCGCCGAAGAAGTCGCGCAGTTTGCGGTCGTCGCCGCGGGCGCCTTGGGAGAGGGATTCGAGGATCGCGGCGTCGAGCGAGTGGATGGGGAGGATGGCGTCGCGGGCTTCGGCTAGCTTGGTCTTTTCGTGGATGGGGTCGCGGAAGAGGAGGGGGGCGCCGTCTGTGTCGCCCATCGGGGTGTCGCGGTCGGGGTTGGGCGTGTTGCTGCCTTCGGGGCCGGGTGAGCCGGCGACGGAGGAGCGGGGTGTGCCTTCGTTGTCGTTCAGGCGGCCGAGCAGGTTGAAGGGGTTTGGCTGGGGGCGTTGGGGTGTCGAGGCGGGTGCTGTGTTGTTTACGGCTTCTGACGCGCCGTTGATGGTGGGGACCACGGGTTTACCGGCTGCGGCTTCGATGATGGCGATTTGTGCTTGCGAGATGGGGTCGTTGGGTGAGCCGTCGTAGAGATCGACTGAGCGTGGCACGACCTTCCTCCTGTTCTCAAGTTTTCGCGCGTTCTCGAAGATTGAAGGCTTGAAGAAACCCTGAGTTCGTTAGCAAGGTCCATCTTACATGATTATTGAGTTACTCACCATGACAGAAAGCATAGTCTCGTCGTACGTCTTGAAAGTGTACTTCCGCGTGTCTTGGCCCGAAGCGCGAAGGTGGAAGTCCCATGTTTGTACAGTGACCGAGCCTTCGTCCATGGAGCAGAACTTCTGCTTCAGCTCCTCGGCGAGCAGGAAGTCGTATCTCCGCTTCAGATTCATGTCCGCATATGGAAAATGCCCATAAAGCATCATCTTGATGAACGTCTCGGTTACATCCGCTCCACCCATCTTGAGATTGACACGGGACTCCTCGGCACAAAGGCCTTCGTCAACGCAACAGATCGATGTCTTCTGAGCACCGATATCTACTACGCAGGCAACACCGTAGCCAGCACCGAACGTAGCCGAAAGCGACTCTTGCTGCAGGCAGACCTTTCCAAGGCCAAGATCCCGCATGAGGATGTCCAATATCATTGTGACGTATTGTCGCTCGTAGAGGTCTGGTATGATGAAGACGCACTTGTAGTTGACAAGGTCTTTTAACCTGGTGATACCAAGTTGATTCCGGAAAGCCTCTTCTAATATCTTGGAGAGATCATGGTAGATCTGATTACGGTCGCGATAGTCCTTCTCATTGAACGTGCCGTTCCGTATCGGCCAGAACAGCTTGTATCGTGGGTTGGATCTCTCGGGTATCCGCAGCGCGTCGTGCCCAGTGAAGAAGTCCGGTGCCTTCTTGGGATCTGCAGGTAGTTCTGTCCACTCGATACGGTTGATGTCATTGTGTTCGGAGATGATGTCTGGGGGGGATTTTCGGTTGAAGTTGATTACGAGGTCTTTCGAGTTGGGTAGCACTCGTCGCTTATTGGAACGCATCCTCGTCCTAAGTTCGGATGACATGGCCATGTACTGGTCGGCAAACTGGTCGCAAGTTAGCGTCGTCCGTGAGACTAACACTCAAATACTCACATCCTCTCCAAACCACTTCTCAGGCAGGGCATCCGCCGGCACGGCGCCTTCAACCTTCATTCGCTTGGGGCTGGGCTCTCCCTCGTCCTCCTCGTCCTCACTCTCCTTCCATTTGCGCGCGATGACCATAGGCACAGTCTTCGGTAGTGCGTCCGATCCAAGGCCTATCCTCAAGTTCTGGCTACCAGGATGTATCACGATGAGCTTGGAGATGTCGGTTCTTGATGCGAAGGAGACCTCGGCATCTTCCATTGTCTCGTCCGCAACCTGTGGTGTCGCTCCTTCCGTTGCCGGTACACCCAACGCGCGTGCGCGATCCTTATCCCTGGCTTCCTGTACTATGCGCGCCCTCTCTTCATCCTTGGGGTATCGTACGGCGAGGAACTGTTCGTCGCGCTTGAGAAACTCGGTGTAGTAGTTCTTTTGGTTGATCATGCCAACTTGGGGCCATGTCGTAAGATCCATATTGTTGTCCGTTCGCTCCAGACCTGCAGGCTTGTTAGTTGCCATGTTTGCGCTGTAGTATCCCGATGCCGTACCCTCTTCCCTCAATTGGGCTCTGCCCGATTTCTTTCCGACCATCTTGCCGATTTGTTCAGATGCGTCTGGCAATTGAGAGGATCGTGAAGTCGCGGTAGCCTTCGCAGGGTTCCGTGAGCGTAGGCGGTGTCTGAATCTCGAAGGCGATCAATGCCGTCGTGTCGGCGGGATGGCTCTGGTGCGCGCACACCAGTATATGCTAAAGGAGCCGTGTTAGGGTCGTACAGTAGCGAAATTCGACCGTGGGTGTAGCTGGGGAGAGGTTCGTTGGCGATGCCGCTCGTCTGAGTGGTGGTGAAGGCTAGCCGGAGGTTGTTCGTCGCGGT